TGCTCTCTGCCACCTGGAGCCAGCTGGAGCCTTAGTTGTGATAGTCAGGAATGCTGTGCAGTTGCCAAATATGCCTTCAGGGCAAAATCTCCCTGGTTGAGAAGCGCTGGTCTGAGCGAAGAGCAGGATCCATTGCCCCGCCACATGGACCCAGCCCTCAGGTCCTGTCCTTCAAGTTAACTCTTGGCTGGTTACACAGCGTTGGAACTCACCCAATACACAGGAGCATGGTCACTATAGTTTTGGTAGTAATCCCAGAACTTACTGGAGGAAAATTTCTTAATCCCACAAGTTGTTCCTACGTTAGAATACAATGTCAGAAACAGAACGTGAAATGAGATACAGTATTTAGTTACTTAGTGCTAGGTAAACTCCACATGAATTTGAGAAGAAATGACCACTTCAGGCAAATAATTCATATTTAACACTTACCCTCACTTAATGCAGACTGTCTCAAGACACTTATTCAATTTCTAAAATCCAAGAATAATCAAAATGAAATATGTGTTTGGGGTAGCAAAGTATTCTGCCTTTTCTCTTAATAACACTTTATTTCAAGTGATCTTTAATATATACTATATGAAAGGACTTTAAAAAACTTGTTTTATAAAATACTTGCTTTCATAGACAAATGATTATTTTTATGATATTATCTTTGGGGGAAATAAAACTTTTAAAAATTAGTACAAACAAACAGCTTAGAGTTTTCAGCAGTAAAAGCTATTATGCCTATTTCAGTGGACTATAAAATGAAAACAAGTTTTCACAACGTGCCATTTAGTAGTTTAGTGCGTGTCAGGTGCTACTCTGAAGCAATTATTTTATAACTACTTTTTCTTTGTGGAAATGTAAAAGTGATTTAAAAGTCAGAGGGAGGGAGGAAAATTTGTGATGTGCTGTTATCATGAGGAAGGTCAAAATATTCTCCATTCTGTACAAAAGCAACTTGTAAACTAGGTCAGTACAGCTCTTGGCTTAATTATTTTTTTTTATTATACTCAACTTTTGACTCCAAATAAACTGAGTTAGCTAATACAAATACAGGAAGGTTACTCAAATGCTCAAAGTAGAAGCAAAAAGAAAATAAAACATGATCCTAGTAACATAAGATTAAGTCAGTAAAAGCCTTGTTTTAAAAATACAGCTATGAGATCAACTTGATTGTAGTAATCATTTCACAATGTGTACATTTATCTAATTATCACATTGCATGCTTTAAATGTATACAATTTCATTTGTCAATTATGCCCCCCAATAAAACTAGAAAAATGATTAAAGCTGCAATACATTTGACATATACAAAAAAAAGAGATGAGCAAAAGATCCAAGTAGATGCAGCACATGCTCAACATAATTACTCACCATGAAAACACTAATCAAAACCACAAGGAGATAGCACTTCACACCTATTAGTATGGTTATAACCAAAGAGACTAATGATCACAAGCCTTAGTGAGAATGTGGAGAAATGGGAAGCCTCATACACTGAGGGTGGGAATATTAAATATGGAAAGGTTTTTGAAGAACAGCCTGGCATTTCCTCAAAATGTTAAACATAGAGTTACCGTATAAGCCAGCAATTCCGAGAAGACGTTAGGAGAGTGAGGTGAATATTCTGATTGGTTTGCTCTTTTCTGCAGAAGTGACTGAGCCAGGCCTTCTCAGAGGGTTTGCTTCCCTCCCTGCACTCCAGCTAACTACAGATCTTCCTCGACTCCTAGAAGTATTTTAGTTATCTCTACAGGATGTATTCAGTAGTTCCAGTATAGTTCTACTTTTCCCCTCTGAGATTAAGAAATTACATCCATTTAATGTAATGGAGTTAAAGCTTTGCATATTTCCTTAAAGACCTTCCCTTTTTCTCATAGCACAAATAACCCACCATTTGGCTGCCATAGCTGTTGGAAAGGAATTGCTAAGTGAAGAGCAGAAATGTAGAGTAAATAAGGGACTATGAACACACTTTCAACTTCAAGAGACAAAATCATGAGCGTGTCAACAAAGCTAAGAGAGTACGAGTAACTGCCTTAGAGTTCAAGACATGAGAGACAAGTAAAAATTTTATGATTTATCTTACACATAAGATCTGAGCTATATTCTCTTGCTGAGTTTAGGACTTTCAGAATTTTTATATTAATCTTTTGTTTATAATATGATCTATATATAAGTCAATCTATGATTGATTTGCTTTTCATTATTAAATGAAAGATAATACTGAGGATATCTATTTCCCTCTAGTCAGGCAAGCTGTGCCAGGTTTGAAGAGGGATACTTGAATACATTTACCGTTTTGTTAACTCTAACAAGATGGCACTTTGATTTCTTTCACGTATGTATGGGTTGCCCCTAGACATCCAGACCTAGGGTTAACCTTTTGGGGACTCACTTCTCCTTCTCCATCAATGTAATTGATAAGTTCTACATACATCCTTTACTTCACTTCCATCTCCCCTGCTCTGCAATATGGTATTGGCGTAAAAATAGACACGTAGAACACTGGGGAAAAAATAGACAGCCCAGAAATAAACCCGCACATACCTGGTCAATTAATTTAAGACAAAGGAGCCAAGAATATAGAATGAGGAAAAGTCAGTCTTTTCAATAAATGATGTCAGACACATGCAAAAGAATGAAACTGAGTGAGTGAAAAGTCAACTCAAAATGTATTAAAGACTTGAGCATAAGACCTGAAACCATAAAATTCTTAAAAGAAAACACAGGAGCTAAGCTTTTTAACATTGGTCATGGCAGTAATTCTTTGGATTTGACATAAAAAGCAAAAGAAACAAAACTAAACATGTGGTACTACATCAAAATTAAAAGCCTCAGTACAGCAAAGAAAACTATCAACAAAACAAGAGAGCAACCTATGGAATGGGGGAAAATATTTTCAAGTCATACGTCTTGTAATGGGTTGGCACTAAAAATCTATAAAGAACTCATACAACTCAACAGCAAAAAACAAAAACAAAAACAAACAAAAAAAGCAATCCAGTCAAAAAATGGGCAGAGGATCAGATTAGACATTTTTCCAAAGAAGACATACATATGGCTAACAGGTACATGAAAAGGTGATCGACATAACTGTTCACTAAGGAAATGCAAATTAAAACTAAAGTGAGAGATCATCTCACTCTTGTTAGAATGGGTATTATCACAAAAACAAGAAATAACAAGTATGTGTGAGGATATGGAGAAGGGAACTCTTGTGAACTGTTGATGGGAATGTAAATTGGTGCAAGCACTATGGAAAACAGAAAAATTAAAAATTAAAAATAGAATTACCATATGATCCAGCAACTTCATGCCTGGGTTTTTATCTGAAGGAAACAAAAGCAAGAACTCAGAAAGGTATCTGCAACCCCATGTTAATTGCGGTATCATTTACAATAACCAAGACGTGGAAACAACCTAAGTGTCCATTGATGGATGAATGGATAATGAAAATATGGTATATATACACAATGAAATATTATTTAGCCATAAAA